ACGTCAATTCGCGTCTTTATAAGAATAGTAACGTTGTGCACAATTTTCTCCAAACCGGATATAAAATGTTTTTTCCGATCTTGCTTTCGATTGTAGAGGTACTTTCACGCTGCATTATTTTTCATTATTTCTATCATTTATAAAGATTTGGAAGATTTAAGGGCTCTATCATTTAAATTGAAGAAAGAAACTCACGGTGCATAAAAATGTAAAAGGAATAAAACGTAAAGACCTAATTTTCCCACACTTCAACAACGATATATTCAAGAATTGTCACATTTTCTAAATTTATATATTTATATATTATAAAATATATGTTTTACAAATTATCAGTTTGTTGTTAGAAAAGTTGCAAATAAAATAGATGATTTTCAAATCGATTGAAACTCTCAAATGTTGATCCTTCCGTGCGGAATTGGAATTGTATGAAGGAAAAATATGCCACTTTTGACATGTTCTTTGTAAACCTGTAACTAAGTATTTGTATGAGAATACAAAGAACAAATTCCGTTCATTCGCAGTAGCGTTTCCTGATTGGAAAAGAAGTAACTATGTTTTTGCGCTTTAAAATCGACATTAAAATTTAACGATGCTTGTAAACTTTTATATGGACTTATTAACGATTGCATTTTTGCCATGGAAACTTTACAAGCTTCCTTTACAACATGTATCACGTAACGTAAACGTTTCCGTAATACAGTCCATCTTGCTCTTGTTTACACGTGAAATACATTAAATGTATTAAATTGCCGTTAATACATTTATCAAAATATGATTACTTCATATATACATCGTAATAACGTTAATACTTAAAACTTTTAAACTTTCAGCGTATTAAATTATGAGTATGAATATAAATGATAAGTCAATGATTTCTGTATTAATAAAATATTAATTTGGAGTTTAATTACAAAGATATACATTATAATATAATAACTGAAAACACGACGTGTAACTACCTTTCTCGATGTTTTCTTTTAAAAATTTGCCGTAATCGATTGTTTGAAATTTATGTCAAAAGGATATTCGCGATGGTTCTGGAAAAGTTAATAAATTTTTACCGTATAGATATAGCGAAGAAGGTTTCGCGTTTCGAAAGGTTAATGATACTTATTCGCTCGCCTGCGGTGTTGAATACGCTTGTCAAAACGTGCATATCGGCAGACTATAGGGAAATTAATACCAAAGCATATGTTCCGAACAGACCCGCCTAACCGGCGCATTGGTGCGTGGTAACCAAATCCACGGCTGTTTGTGTGCACGCCGGTATGCATGAGCGGGGTGGCGGGGGTTGAGGAGGAGAAGATAGGCACAAAGTCCGTAGAGGGTGCCAGTCGGATGATATAGTGGATACCGGTCCGTGGTGGCGGCATGGTGGTTACAGATAAGGAACAGGTCGCATCGCAGAGCCCGGGGTGGAGACGGTACTAATTTAGTAAGCGGCGAACGAGGGTAGTGGCAATACCCGCTTCCGGCTTTCGTGTCTGCGAAGACGGAAGTAACGCGGCGCGCGTATACCCGCAGATGCTTTAAATTTAATGGAACGCCGATATTTCAACTCATACTCCGCGGAAAATATCATAAGTAAATTTATGCGATACTTTTCCTCCAAAGAGAAAAAAAAAAAA